AGGAAGTATAGCTTTAGAATTTGTTCGACGCGAACCGATGCAGTTGATAGATTACCAAGTTGATAGTATAACTTAGTCTCTCTCTCTCTCTCTCTCTCTCTCTTCTCTTTCTCTACCAGTGACCTATTGGTTTTTTTACTTTTTCTAATACTGTTCTTCATGACCTAAAGAGATAATACAGCTAATACAGATAATATATATCACTTTTAATTCAAATATAGCCTCTAATGTAGGATCTTGGGCTATAATTAAGCTATTAGCGTAAATATAAATAGTTTATAATGATGGATGGGCAAGTTGAACTATCTCATGATATTCTAAGGAGAAATCTGTAAGACAGTATAAATACCTCTTACAACAACGCAAGTGGTTATCCGTTTTCTTGCCTCTGGGCTTATTGCAGATGAGGTGAGATTTCTGTGGCATCACATGTCAGAAGCTTAATTAAGCTTATAGCGAAGCTTGCAATGTCATTGTTGTCACCGTTGCTCCCTATGAAAGATCTGATATTTAGTTTCACGAAGGTGATATAATATGCAGTAAGAAACTTACTAGATTTATGAATTTACGGCATTGGCTTACGTAAATACTGTTTCAAATATTAACCTGGGCAATTAATTTTTTTTTATTTCCTTTTTAATGTCTCTTAGTTTTAAAATACAAGCAATCATTGAGAATAATTTCTTTTTTTATAAATACAAATTACGATACAAACCAATTAAGCGATTCAATTTATTATCTGTGAATAATAATAATGCTATTAATAAAATATTATTATTATTATCATTATTATCATTATTATCATTATTATCATTATTATTAAATTAATAATATAGCTTGGGTACAAAATTTCTGAAATTTATTTCTTAGAATTCGTAATTTCAAGTGTCCTACGTTTTGACATTTAAAAACATTATATTAGTTCTTTTATTATCATTAGATATATACTGCAGAATAATTCTTTTGTAGCATTATAATATTTATATTTACAATTATTATTCTAAATATATTTAAGTAATTATATAACGATATCGAACAATAGTCTAAAATTTAATAATTTATAATAAATAATTTACAAAAGAAAGATAGATCGGCAAACCATGTTTTATAAAAAGACCAAACCAAATGCGATCCGTATACGCAATAAATTGCATGTGAATTTTTTCTTAATTACAATATATTCTTTATAGAATAAAAGATGTAATATTCTTATTTTATTTTTACAGGTTTCTTTAGCTATACTAGTGGTATCAATAATTGCAACTCCCCCTGCTAGTTATGTCAAGCAGGCCGATAACGATAAGGTAAATAACAGTATTATGTATTACAAATATAAATTTCTTCTTGGTAACACATAATCAATCATAATTACAGAATAAATGAAATAATTATGCAATTAACTAATTGTCTGTTTATAGTTTTTGCTGTAGTATATCTAATATTCAACGCCATTTGTCTAAATAATTTAGTATAATAAATCGTATTCAATTTTTAATTTAAAACAATTCAAAATGATTAATATAAATTTTATCATTGATTAAATAAGTATTATTAAATAGTATGATTTTTCCTATATAAATGTAATATCAAAAGGAAATCACCTATCTGAAAAATTTGATCATATTTGAGAATAATTTCATTTGCATTAACTGCTGAATAATCTGTTCATCTCATAGTTCTATTACTCGCGTAGTTAGCTGGTTTGAGATATCACTATATAATCATCATAATCACAATTTTTTATTAACCCTTCCTTCAAGTAATTATACATGGATAGAATGAGAAAAAGATGCGGACGGACACGTGACAAAGCACACACGCCCAACTAGGATTTCGCACGAACGCCATATTCGCAGGACTTTATAGTAGAAAAAAAAAAGGCAATGGCTCGCGCATTACTCATCACTCTTAATTAAATATCTCGTTTTAATTAACCATAGAATCCTTATTTCCACTAACCAAAACTTCACTCGTTCTCTCATATTCTATATTGGAAACGATTGTGTGTTCCCGTACAAATAATACATGACATTAGCAATCAATCCTAATGTTGATAAAGCATTTTGTTAATTTTAAAACGTATTAAACGTAGATTTTAATCTATTTTAAATAGAAATAGAAATATAATTTAAATGAAACATGAATGTTTAAATGCTTTCAGAAGTTCAATTAAGTTTAATTTAATTAAAACTATTATAGCTATTATTGTTCTCATTATTGTTCTAAAAATATGTTATTCTAACAGTTTAAATTCAATAGCTTTTATAATTATTCAATCTTGAGAAATTTCTAGGAAAATCATTATTATATATATTATATATATATATATATATATATATATATATATATATATTATATATATATATATATATATATATATATATATATATATAATCATTATTATTTATAATACCAATAAAAATTTAAATTAATAATTAAATTAAAAATTCTTAAATAAAATGTAAACTATTTAAATTTATTTTCATTAGCAAGTTTCAATAGGTTTTTTTTTTTTTTTTAATGTATCTAAAAATAATGAATAATTGATAATTCCGAAGAAAAGGAAAGGAAGCAAAGAAGAAGAGAAAAAAATTAAATTCAAATATTTATCGTTTATTATAAAATATAAATGTTTAAATGTTTATATTCTACATGCGACATTAGAATGCTAAATGTAAAATAGTATTGCATACATATTATTATTATCCATATAATTCCTGCAGACTTTTCTCAAAAAATTAAATAAAATATTATATATAACAGAATTTAAAATGATGATAATACGTACATATAAGAAGAAAAATATATTAGCCAAGCGGCAAAAAGTTTGAGATGTCAATTATCAGTTAGTGAATAGGGACTAAAGGAGGATCCTAGCAAAGAGATGTAAGTTTTAATCAATCTATTGTACTCGAAATATTCGCAAGTTTAAAATTTCCATATTAACCATCTACTTTCTTGAGATAAGTATACACAAAAACTTGGCTTCGAAAACAATGAAGATTAAATTACCATGTGAGAAAAACTCCCCCCACCCCCTTTTTTTTGTCGCTTTCATCTTCATTGATCAGAAGGACCAGGAATTGTGCTTATAAGACTGACTGACAGGAAAAGACAGCTTTTCTCATTTCTTTTCTTTCATCGACGTCGATCCACCGATATCCCATCGCGGGTAACTCGAGAATTCACTCTACCTTCCATAGACCTTTAGTTATCCTTTTCCCTTTTCAAAGTTGCTATTTACTACTCTGTTGAATTTTACTTTAGTTCACGGCATATAAGGAGTATACTTAGTTTTCACGAAAAATCGACTCACATGTATACAATTTATTTTCAGTAAAATAGCGACGGACGTTGATTGTAGGGTATGTTCACTGTTGATACCTTAGGTAAGATTATCGGTGTCGTCAATCCAAACGGTTGAACCGTGATAGACGATCTTAGAGAATCTACATGGTTGGAAAGATTAGGAAATCGTTTATGTCGAATGATTGTGGCGATAATATCACGGTAAGAAAGTTAAATTGTACTATTATATAAAAGAAAAAAATTAATTACATTTATACGATCATTATTACACATTATATGCTAATAACTTCTGGATTATTAAATAACAAGATTTATTAAGAATTTTTATATGCTCTTTAGGATTGTGAACTTGTTCATTTATCAAAGTAGATTACTACGATGATTTATTAAATGAGTAAATATTTATTAAACAATTCAATATTATTTCATATGACATGTCGAAATAAATATAATTAATAATAAATGTTATTTCTAGCAATTATTAATTTGTAATAACGGGAATTGAACATATACAAATGCAAAATGTATCAAATGTTTAAAAATATATTAATAATTGATGTCCTATATAAAGGAATTGCGTCCCATAGAAAATGAATTTTTAAATAAATGAAAAATATAACTTGATAAATATAACTTATTTGTATAATAAGGATTATTTACTTAAAATTAAACTTTAATTAAATATTACATTATTTTTTATATATTTGCAGCTATGTGTGCCAATACTTCCAGTTAAAACGAGTAAATAATACATAATTTGATCCTAATTCAGATTACAATTTGCATTATATTCAAAATATATGTTTATAGGCGATGCTGTATTTTAAAATTAGTATTCTGTAAAATTTTTTAATAATTAAACGTATATTTTATATGTGAAATTGCAAATAATCACATTTACAGAATAGATTTAAAAATGATATTTTATTGGACTTTAGATAAAATAATGAATAAGAATTAAATTAAGAGAATAAAAATAAAATACGATCATGTAATCAGGATAAAAATGCACCATTATTATAAATAAAGCATAAATATTAATTGAATAGCAATTTTAGTTTGACATATCGTCCATTAAATTATATTATTTTTATTATTACTTTCATAGTTAATAGATTTTTTATGTTTAGTCATTGCGTTGTTATTTTATTGATAATCTGCAAGTTTTAGAAATAGGATCATATGATAATTAGAATAATCCATTGATATCTTATTTTAATTATTAATTAGGAGTTTTATTAAATCATAAGTTGATCCGCTTTCTAATATAAAATATTATATCGCTTTATTAATATTAAATTATTTATTAAAAGTCTCTATATTTCGTTGTCTTATCTCTATTTTAATTATTTAATTTAATTCAAGACAACAATTTTGTTGCTGTATAAACAATATAACGACTTGCTTATTTGTGTTTGTTTCTTATAAATAATTCAATAATTCATAAGAGCCATTAAAAAAAATCTTTTAAATAAGAATTGTTTATATGATACAATTGATGCAAAATATTATAGAATTAATTTTCTATTATTTAATGTGAAGAATTTTTATAATAAACATACAATAAACATAAATTATTATAATTAAATATTTTAAAATTATTTTCCTTAATACAACAGTAATTAAATTGAGAGTTTTTAATCGAGAACACATAACATAATAATATATAAAATTAACAAAATATAGAAGAATTAATCGTCAATATAATAATCCATTTTTTAATTTCTGGTTAATCATTGGAAAGTATTTTTCAAGCAACAATGTCGTTTTTAAAGGAAGCAAAAGTAGCTGCAAAAGCATAATTTAAAACCATAATTTTGTATTAACATTTTCAATTTTCATATACATATTTCGAAAATATTTTTATGATGATATTCAATCTTTTTTACTAATATTATTCACTCTTGAAAGGAAACTTGTATACTCATTTGTTATTAAAATTAAAAATTCTTTTTTATAAAAAGAATTTTGCTCATCTATAAAATGTTTCCAAAATCTTCAACGTAAAACGATTCAAATTTTAAAATCAAATTTCTATATAACTGGCTATAGCATAGGCTTGGAACAAATTTATGTCTTTCATATTTTCTACTTTTTCTAACAGTAAAAGATGAAAATATAGAAAACCTCGATACTCTTACATCTTGGCACTTATCAATATATTATTTATCTAGGATTATTTTTATTAATTATAATTCTAAAGATATTGAAATTAATATTAAATAAAATTTAATTTATAAAAAAATACATATGTATATGTATGTAAATAAATCTGTACTATTAAGAATTTTTCCATCTCTTATACATATTACAAAAGTCTTTTTCATATTCATTGTTAAAAAATATCGTATACATTGTTAAAAGAATTGTTGAAATTCCATCGTCTTTGACAGCGTGACATTAAAAATTCTTCTTTAATCTTGTTTTAAAAAATTTCTAAAAAAAAATACATATAATTTATAATACACGGATATGTATATACGGATATGTATATACGGATATAGATGTATAAGAATCCGAGTCAGATGAATTCTTTGTTTCACAAATCTACATGTCCCAAGATATTTAATGAATGTAATTACATTTGTTTACTTTTATTGCGTTATAAATTAAAGTAATGGAGAATTTCATAAATGCAGGAATACGTATATTATACGTATATAATAAAATATCAAATTTTGCATAACTCAAAATTATACACATACACACATACACGTTTCATAAAATTCATAATCAACTATGAAATAATGGTAAAACTTATTTTCTCGATATTCAAAAGAGTTAATTTCATAGAATTATTTACTTATATGTGGAAATCAATATAAAATCAATATTGACATATTTATTAAATATAATTGTAATACATTAAAAATTGTTGAATAATATGACAGTAATTGTTGATATATTGATTAAATATTACTGTAATGTATGAAAAATGGTTGAACGAACAAGCCTAATTAAGCGCTTTTCTAAAAGGATTGGAAAAATAAAATTTTACAACATTGAATAAAAAAGTTATATAAACGTCACATAAATATGTAATAAATATTCACGAGGTGCTTCATACATATTCTCATTTGCAGACACTATTCTTTGTAAAATACAATTTATTCAGACAATACATGTTTATTTGCAATTCATACATAATGAATATAAAATAATTGAATATAAAATACGTAAATGTAAAATCATATAAAATATTGGATAAAAAAATAACTCTTTAATATATATATATATATATATATATATATATATATATATATATATATATATATATATATATATATATATCTATGTTGATTGTTATTAAATTATGAATTTAGATTATAAATGTATTTCAGGTTTTCGATACTTTTTTTTTCTTTTATTACTTTCATCCATGTGTTTTGTATGAATAAACTTTGTAACGAAACATTACTATGACATGTTTTTAATATTTTTAAAAAGATTTAATATTTTCAGGCACCTTTTTAGAAAAAACTGGTGTTTAATTTTTACAAATATTATAATGAATATTATATATGCGTGCGTACGTGCGCGCGTGTGTGTATTCTATTTGCCATATGTTTGACATAAATTATTAAAACAAAAATCATATTTAAACATAAATGTTTTGGTTAACTTTATATATATATATATATATATAAATATTATTACAAGTACTTATAAACTATCTTATATATTCATAAATATATTTATTAAAATTACATTAATTTTTTGTGAGTATTATGTACTTAATACTTAAAACAATGCCATTATTTGACCATCAATAACAACACGTAAACGTATTTTTATATTTGTAAGTCCTTCTTGGAACTTTTGAAAAATTTCCCAATTAATCGATAAATATATTGAATATTTTGTCTTTAGAGATAGCAACAATTAAAGATATTGAAATAAATCATTAAATACATCGAATACTTTGATAATTCTTTTATATTAAATGATATTATTATTTATTATAAATCTTCAAATAGGAAAATAATATTCTAGAAATTAATCGATAAAAGACTTAAATATTAATGGAATGTTTCTGATTTATTTGAGTGTAAATGCACGGGAGAGAGGAAAAAAAGTTTATTTTCAACTTTATTTTGTAATACTTATCGATGCATTATCAAAAGCAATACTTCAAAAAGAAATAAATAAATAAAAATTCTTTTCATTGCGTATAACGTGTGATCAGTTTAGGAATATTTTTTAATCGAGTTAACCATCATAATTAAAAAACACCATGATACGAGAAAAAATCTTTTACAATTATTTTGTTGCAAGTTTACAAATTGTTTCACATTTCTATCCGACGCTATCGGCTAAATCAAAATTATCATTGAATATTATTTTCATTTCACTACTAAACAACATACAATACTTCGACTATACTACTTAATAAAGTTAGTTGAGGTTCGCATCTTAAATACTCGGTCGTATTTCTCTAATAGCTATTCTCAATGGTGTATATAGAATGACTCTTCAAATACCATAAAACTAAGTAAAATTGCTAAATGGACTGTGCAGAGTTTGTCCTGAGTCTCAGTATATACGCCATTGAATTTTATCTATTAGAAGTTCGGGGAACTTTTATTATCAAGACATTTATTATAAGACTTTAAGAACGAAAAGGCTGAAGAATAGCAGGTATATGTAGAATAATGATAGAACATGGTGAAGAAGTAAGAGAGGGACATGAGGGATAGTGAATGGACTGTGAAAGAGAAAGTGAGATGAAAATAGTGGCATATAGGATGAAGTAAGTAGAGGAGGTATGGCGAGGAGACCGCGAGGTTGGCTAACACATTATGAAGCATCACGGTACCCCCTAGATTTATAGTGACAGGAACGCAGGATTAATAGTGTGCTTATAGGATATTATTAACGGTCACTTTCTGCTTACAGCTGACCTTCTCTCTCGATCTTTTTTCCATATCCTCTTTCATTTAAGCAATCCAATAACCCCCCCCCCATTCATAAAATTTTCACGGTAATAAACAATGAAAGCCAGTGGAACCATGGTTCAATACATGTCTTTATTTATAAATTTTTTTTTTTTTTTATTTTTTTTTTTTTAAGAAAAATCTCGAATAATTAATAATATATTTAAAGTGATTTTAAATCCAGTTTTAATAGAAGTAATATTGTATGTTTATTTGGAAAGAGCTTTAATGTATATGAAATGATTTTCAAAAGAATGTACAATTGGACAAGGTGAATGTAAAGCCACATAGTTAACTACGTTGATTTAATAGAATTTATTTAAACAATTTACAACCTGTTATTATAAATATAATGATAGGTGCCCGATGCGAATATTTTCTTCGTTAATCTAATTGAAAAAATAATTGCGACAATTTTCCCCTAATTTTCATGCTTTATCGATTTTAAATATCCAGGCGCCCGCAACCTAGTTATTATTATACAAAAAATAATAAATTATGATTTATTCAAGAAACGTACTTCAAAAGTAACAGTCAATTGCTCTTTATGTTGTCGAATATCCACGGAGTCGGACAATATGAATTTTTGAATGATAACGAGCAAATGACGATAATTATGCAAAATTTCCTATACATTTTAACATAAATATAAAACATAAAATCAAACTTATATTACGTAAATAATTTGATTGATTAACATACTTTTTTTTACATTTTCTTTTACATTTGAATTACTTGGAAGTTATAAGTTATCGTAAATTTCTAATCATCTATTTCGTAAAAATGAAAATAACTGCTAATAATTAAGGAATATACGTCTTAGGTGTTTACTTAAAAACATTTAATTCGCACGTTATATTTCTTAAAAATATCTGGATTATATGCCTTTTCCTTGCAAAATTAAAATATTAATGATATTAACAAATATTGCTTTATTAATTATTTATCAATAAATATAGATAGCTGTGCTGTTTAGTTTAACCGAAATGCCAGTGAATTCTCATGCGACACTTTATTTCAATATTAACATTATAAATTATTAAAAATTCCTCATAGTAGCATTAGACACAATTTTATTTCTTAATATATCTCTCATCATATATTTTGTAACGTATATTCTTTCTTGACCAATGGATTTTACCAAAATTTTACCACTAAATTATCAAAATTAAATTTGACAATATCGACAGTCATGTAATAATTCTACTCTACCACGCTCGATCCCTTTCATACAATCAATAAATGTTATTGATAAATTGATAAAGCACAACTGACATATTATTTTCAATTAAATCTCTCATCTAATCAACAGAATACTCCATCGTATCGATATAAATACGCAATCGAAGATCGGACTGGTGATGGGCAAGGCAAAACCGAGGCTCGCGAGGGTGAACACGCAAGTGGTCGATATTACGTTAGTTCCAAACGATCGTTGACAGACGTCAAGTACACGGCTGATGAATGGGGTTATCATCCATTTGTTCAATATGGTTCGTCAGACAATCACAGCAGCAGTAGTACTACTTTTGCTATTGGCGAGAGAGCGGTTGCTAATCTGCCAAATAAGAATGTAAGCTTCCATATGTTTCAATCACTTAATGCACGTGACACGTTCGACTACTATCGCCCTTGTTATATGTCCATTTCTCTATCTGCTTTAAATTAAATTTTTTAAATAGCCTTTAATCGCGTAAACTTTAACGATAACAAGAAAATAAGGAAATTGAAATAATTATTGTAATTGAAATTATAATAGAATAAGAGATGTATAGTGTTAATTTTAAAATTAGTTCAATTTCTTTTCGAGAAATTACTTAGTTAATATATTGTGAGTAAATAATATGTCTGTAACAAAAATTATAAAATCTACTTCCCTCTAATGGCTTTTTACAATTAGCATAATTGAAAAATTAATTTCTATATATAAATGATTATTATCCAATATTGGCGCTCTTATATAAATAATAATTTTTATAAAAAATTTATGCGCATTGTGTTTATTAATTTATAAAATTTATTCGTATAATTTACAGTGACTGTTCAATTATTATCTTTATCAAATTCATTTAACAATTTGCAGATTGCACAACGCACTTCAGATTTGTTACAACCAAGGGATAGAATACAGCTTGTAAGAGTTGTTCAACCATTTCAAAGAACTAAACAAAGCATCGAAGGAAATGATATATTTATTGTAAATAGCAATGAAACATGGATGCCCGATGATTCGTCCGAGCGCGTTCTCCTATCTGAGATGTCCTTGCAGCCCAATTCAAACCCTAAACGCATCAACTCAATGAATATAAATTACATGACTCATAAATCGCAACGGAAATTCAGCGGAGAAAAATTATTATCTCGTAAAGATACTTACCTTGACAAGGATCGTCAATTATCAACAGCACAAAAGCAATCGAGTTCCACTTCATCGTTAGGAAACCATGAAACTTCAATAGCTTCCGAAGAGGAGCAGTTGGCTATCGACAATGTCGGTAGTTTCGGTCAAAAATTAAACATACAGAATAATGATATGCTAATTAGCTCTACAACGGCAAGTCCATTATTAACTCACAGCGATATACCCTTGGCTTCCACTACAATTGTTCAAAGTGAACAATATCCTAATATCAATGGGCAACAAAAAAACAATAAGCCTTATTTGCCAAATTTAATTCCAGGATTGGGCGCCTATTCTTCTACTGCATTTCCAATCCAAGATAATAATAGCGTTACGGCCAATTCAATTGAATCTGATAGTGGACAAAGCCATGAAAGTAACATTATTGATAACGAGGGATGGAAATCCTATTCCCTTATTAGCAACACTGTAACTGGAAGTGATTTCGTGACAACGCGTAATCCACTAATTACAAATTACATTTCACAAAATATTTTTTCAAGTATTTTAACAGCTAACGATACAGCGGGTAAGTCTAAGGGAAAGAAAGACCACGGCTTTTTGAAACCCATTGTAGTCGAGGATGTGCCAAAAGAACGGCCTTTTCAATACAGTACAACATTTGAGTGCAATGATGTATCAAGCACACACAATCCAATTATCGCTGAAGATGATAACTCCGGAGACACGACGTCGTCTTATATATTGAATCCTATTCAAGCGGGAGTCGCCCTTGTTAACGCCGGTGAGGCCCATCTTATAGTGAATGACGTGATTCCCAAGGATAAAACACTGCCAGCACCTGTAAACGGGAAAATTCAAGAGGTCTCTCAATATAATCAGTCTGCTACCGAGCTTGTAAATTCTATGAATACACGAGGAAATAATGATTTAGGCCTTCGTACGCCGGCTAACGATGAGGAAAATATAACGCAAGCAAAGCATGCAATTGAAATGGAAAAATCTATTGAAATAAAGGAAAATAGCCCGGAGTCTAATGCAAGAGATTCTGAAAAATTTACATCTTTTCCGGAGACACAGCGCATTAAGCAGCAACAATTATCGCTGCCAATAATTAAGGATCTGCAACAACGACACCTGTATTCCACAACAAATACAGCAGAGTTGAATTCAAGGAAAATAGCCGACAGTCGCACACGTAGCGAAACGTTAAGTAAAGTTTATGAATTGATGGACACGTATCCTAGAGACTTATCCGTTGAGAAACCGGTTTACGTTATTCCACCAGCAACTTATATACTCGAAGATAGCTCAGTTTTAAAAAATAGTTTATTGCAAGAAAAAGTTCAACAATATCCGGGGGATATGGCCGATACAAAAATAAAATCCGACGAGCAACAGATACAAATTGAAACGCATAATGGTGCTAATCAACAACATTTTCGGACTTTAGATGGAGGCGTTTCGTATAATAGTGACGCTCCGCGCGAACAGCTGGCTGTCGTTGCGAAAAATGGAGGAACGAATTTTGAAATCGCTTCTGAAAAAATGCCACAACCGACGCACGGCAATCCATTTGGGAAACAAGTAATTGAAAAAAAAGTACCTTATCACGTAGAGAAGATTATGGAAAAGAAAATGCCAATACTCCACTCTTATCCTATTCAAGTTCAAGTTCCAATTCCGCAACCAATTCCCATTCATATCGAAAAGGTTGCGGAGAGAAAAATACCAGTTTCGGTACATATTCCTATTCAACACCCTTATTCGCTTGATAAGCAAATGCATGTTCCAATTACCGTTGACAAGATTGTAGATAAATCGGCGAATATTCCAATCGTCGTGGAAAAGATGATTGAAAATAAGGTTCCAGTTCCTCAAATTTACACTACCGAAATAGAAAAGTTATTAGAGCGAAATATACTACATCCAATTGAAATAAGCAAGTATATAGAGAAACCAGCTGCAATGCAAGCTCCTTACGGCGTACAATATGGGGTCAGTTATCAACAAATCATGAAGCCACAAAGTCACGGCTTGTACCCCCATAAGTCCAATCAATTAGCCCCCCTGTACGCGCTATCCGAATCTTCCAAAAATTTGCTCGCCAGTCATACTAACAACATCACAAGGACCATAAACGACATCAATGTAAATAATCTTAATCACACTCAATCATTCCAAGGCTACGTTTACGATAAACCAGAGATTCCCTTTAACGAGGGAAAAGACATTATTGACAAACATCAGTTCCCGCACAATAAGATTGCTCCAAAAATTTTTACCTACAATGCCTACATACCGTCGTACGCATTAACGAACTCTGCCCTTCACAGAAGATATACCGATCCCCAGCGTTTAAATAAACACGAACGTAACGATTATTTTGGCCCCGTACCACCGCTTCATCATGTTCAAAGACAATTTGGTTTTCAGTCCAAGGCATTCTCAACTTATCCTTTAATGGCGGATCGAGCACACAACTCTCGAAAGTCCCGAAATTACGAACCCATAAGATATCAGAAGGGAAATTTCAGACAATCGAAAATTGAATATGGATTTAAGCCGCCGATGGTGCCCTCAGTGCAATACGACGAAGAAACAGCATCGAAAGTTGAAAGATAAAATGATTTGCTTAAACGGAGACTGTGACAATTATTGAGATTCATCTTACGTACGTTTATTGTTATCAACTGTTTATGTTTATAGGTGATTTGTACAATATTATTTATAGATTAATTTTTTTAATAGATGCTCATTGACTTTTACGTCATTTTCATTAGTCATCGACAAAAGCATATTATGTAAATTTTTTGAAAATTTGATAACATTAACTTAATTTAAGATGTTCTATAGATTGTATTATTTAATTAGCACTACTTTTATACTACAGTATTTTATAGTTTATTAAATTAGATTATTTTTGTAGAATTATGAATGGAGTAATTAAGTGTAAATGTAAGAGTTTTAATAAAATTAAATGTAAATTTTTACCATCTACGAGATTAAATTAATTATTCATGGATAAATATCATTAGAAACAGTATATCTTTCGTTTTATTTGTCATTGTCTTTATTATTATGAGAGGCTTATATATATATATATATATATATATATATATATATATATATATATATATTCCTAGTTATATTCGTACTTATTTGCCGATTTTTTCACACTTGCACAGATAATTTTTATACTAATTAATGACGATTTTATTAGCTTTCTTAGAAAATAGAATAACCATACTTTCACTATAGAGTATCAAAATTAGATACTTAACGCATAAATAACGACATTCCATAAAATTATAAAACTTACAAATTTACTTATATTTATCTCTTAATGATATCAACATGATACAAGAAGCTATTAAATGGCATATGTTGAACATGGTGGTACACAAACTCTCTCACATTAAATCTTGTTCTGACCTTATTTGAGGAAACGTCGTAGCTTTCGCGGATAAGAAATTATTTGTAAGGAGGACGGGTGCACATATGCAGTTTCTGTTAGAGTAAAGAGGTCAAATATTATAAAACTTATAGAAAATAATTCGACTAACTTTATATATATATATATATCACATAATATCTAAAGATAATCAAATTTTTGTATGACTATAGATGAGCTTATAACTCAGTCATCATGTTTTTGTGTATTTGTAAATACGCGCTTATTCCATTCACATGCACATCACTAATACTTATGAACGTCAAATTGGAACATTAGCTTATACGCGATAGAATTTACGCTTCGCCATAAAATATTGAAACGAACCCCTATGTAATACATTGAAACAGCATGCTAATATGAGTTAATAGTAGTGATTTTTATATTAATTCTCATTAATATATGCGCAAAATCATTCAGTTACATTTTTTCTTAATCAATTATTTTTTACAATATCCTTGAATCTCCTTTATATAATATTCTTTTTGATCTGATCATTGATTTTCTAATTTTTTACATTGATTCTGGATTCTTTTAATACTAAAAATTACAATCTCGTATTACAAAAGTTTTATACATTTTACAAACTATCTGTCAAAATATATTCAATGTACTTTTGATAATGTAAAAATAAAATGGATTATTACATTACTCATATACTATAATAATAGAAATAATTCTCAATATAAATAAAACTGACGTTAATTAATATAATAAGCAACAAAATTATAGCTTCAAACATCCTTTCAAATATGATAAAATATAACCATTAATTTAAAGTACTCTAACAACTATAAGAAAACGAATTTTCACTTTACTATTATTTTATTAAAATTTGTAACTAATGATTTTTAAGTTTTTGAATAAATAAACAAGAATTATTCAACTTACATACAAGATATATAATGAGATTAATCAATCACAAAGAATGAAAATATCACCGATAAGTTGAAAAAAATGTAATTACTGTATTTTTATTCTTTTGTTAATTCATCATATAGATGTTTATGATAATAAATTAAATATAATAAATAATATAGAGAGAAAATTTTTCAATAGAAACAAATTTACAACAAACATTGATTATTCCTTTCATTTGTTTTTTCATTAATGTAAATATACAGTTCAATAATAACTTCTTAATATATTTATATACATAAAATTATAATTGTATAAGTATATCATTTTTTAAAACATTATACATTATTAAATTTCTATATATTATTGTTAGTCTAAGATGAAAGATATTGTTTAATATGTAATATATTTATTTTAAATGATAAACTGCCGACGCTGGTAAAATCATTTATGAATCTCTTATCTACTAATGTTTCAATATTAATGAAAAAGCAAAGGACAGAAAATATACTATATTTAGTAAAGGAATGAAACATTTGGATGCAAAAGCACTATCGACGTAGCGTTTTTTTTTTATTTTACAATTTTTAGAAATGCTCTCATTAAAACAAGAAATAAAGATTATTCTTAAGTCATCTTTACAGGGAATTGAATTGTTCAAAATTAAGTAAAAATTCAAAAATTATTGAATTTTAAGAGAAAATAAAGATTTTATTTGCGAATTTAAAAAATAATAATAAAGGTCTTAAGAAGCTTTGTTAAAAATACTATTCGAATAATTCATTAAATATTAAATAATAAATTGCATGTAAAAATAAAATATTGCCAATAACGAAGTATTTGTTTATATTTCGTCTACATGAATTTAAGCAAACTTTACGTCATACATTAAGATTGTATGAAGTTATCTATTATTATAATAATTAAAGAGTAATCAATATTTATTTACAATTCGATAAGAATTATATATAGATATTTTAAAAATAAAATTAATAGATATTGATTATGTTTTTGATAGATGTAGGATTACAAATTAAATTATGAGATTCCATTATATAACAATTATAGTAATTGTATTATGAATTAAATTATGACGAATTGGAAATGAAATTATAATTATCTAACAATTATATCATATTATAGAAGCATAAATAATTATAAGTTTGTTAGAAGACGATAATATAATATAATAACTCAACGGTTTCTAAAAACAAATTGACTGAATAGAACGTAAATTTTTAAATTAAATTAATATTGGAACCATCACCAGGTGGTCGGCCCACCTGGCGAAACGTCTATGCGCCAGACATAGCATAATGTCATTTTAAAGTATAAAACGGTGCTCCAGACTGGCAATACATGCCTCTTCGTCTTTACGACAGGACCACTAACACACAGCCGTACACCGATAGACAAGCGCGGAATGAAATATTATAACAGCTTGATATCTTCATCCTTAGATAAGGAATAATTTGAAACTATTACGTAAAGTCAATCGATGTTTGGTTTTTTAATATAAATAAGAGAAAGAACGATACCGAGTAATTCTATTACTATAGTTATTGTTGTAATTTTTATTGTCATTGCACTATGATGCTAATTGAATTGAGTGAAATGATTTGTCTAAAGCTGTTACGATTTCTCATCTCTATTTCTCTCTTACCTCTCTTTACAATTTTGTTTTTTACTCTTTTATTATTTTTATTTTAATTTATTTTCCTTTATAAACTCCTTGCCATTCTTCTTAAACACCTTACATTTTTCTTCGTCATTTATCGTTGCCCTTTTTACATTCACATTTCCATCGCAAAAGTCCGCAAAGTAGATTTGTATCTAACACTATGCGTTTTATTTTTTACGGCTATTTCTCTAAATTTACTTAAAATATTAAAAACCAGGAACGACGTACTTCATGGTATACTCTTTTGAAAAATAAATATATATGTATTTTTTTATCTGGTATTCAATCGTAGGCATCTATAATATTTATAAATAAATATATTAAAATTGCATAGAAAAAACTTGTTTTTTTAGCTGAATGTATAACTTCTTTCATTTTTCGTATTCTTTAGATAATATGTAAATATTTGAAAATGACTCCATTAATTATGAATAAATAATCTGTCACGACAAATCTTATTATTATTATTATTATTAGTACAATTGAATACCGTCTCTGCCGTTGCGTAATCTTAAAAATAATAAATACACGTTTGAAATATTTCATATAGGAAATCAAATTACTACAGAAAAAAATACATATATATATATATATATATATATATTTTTTTTTTAAAGTTATTTATTGAAAGGAATATCGTACATTTGAAAATGTACGTCTATCGCGTGGATAAGCCTATCTCGATATACGAAATAAAGAAGATAATAAAAGAAAAATCCATCATCAAATTTTTCATGTCTGTTAATATAACTTCTTCAATTGAATAAATGTATCATTGGTATATAAAAATAATCATTAATAAATTGATAAAAAAATTTATTTCTATAATTTATAAAAGTTCAAGGATTATGTTTACAAAGACGTACGATCAAATACAATTAGAATAAAATCAATAAGAGGAGTATTGGATATGAATATTAAGAATTCAATAACTTTAATCAATTTTTATGCTAAAAGCTTTAATGTCCATGAGGAATTCGTGAATTAATGGAAATTGAAAGTATCTGTAAACACAATGTTTATTATGATAAGAAATAAAGTGAGAAAGGGTAGAAGGCTTTTACGTACAAACTGTTGATGTCGCAACTCTTTGTACTCTTTGTATTTCACATCAATATTTCTTAATACTTTCTATTCCGGTACAAATATAAATTTTTGCGAAAATACCAAAAATCCTCATCTGTCGGCTTTAATAATAGATAACTCGACTCGTTTGTACGCTGTCATGAATCTCAGTTGAAGGTAATTGTCTTAGAATTAATTTCTTCGCAGTGTCAGCAGCTGTTGTCATTTCTTGGGTGATTTTGTATTCAGTTATGACTTGAAATCAGTTCAAGTATAACAAATTGTATTTCATATAAATAACTATTGTTTCACCAGTCTAGTGTAGCAATAGTAATAGTTTGCAAAGTGTTACAATAAACACTTAAAATTTATTATTTTATATAAGATGATATTATTTGTTTATTTTAATGTAATTTATGAATTCGTAATTCATAATGCCAATTTTGTTTTGTATGACAAGATAAACATGGTACAATAAATTTAATTACAGTTTACATAGAGTAATGTTAAATAAATAATTATATGTTTAATAGATAAATATGTTACAAGTATTTAACTTTTTATATACATTCCATAAAAAATTGCAGTTTTTTTTTTATTTTAGATTATTCAGTTTGAACTATTTACATGTTTATCTATTTAAATAACTATACATTTTATAAAATAAAATATTAAACAAATAGGCACTATATTTTTAATAGTCTAATATTACAATTTATATTATTCA